ACTTGAATGTTATGTTTTTTTTTTTATAGTTTTGGGAAATATTTAACAAAACTAAGAAAAGAGTAATAAAACTAAGTCATAAATATAGTCCTTTGACAGATTGAATTCATATGTATGATTCTGTTTATTTTAATCACTTTCTTTTCAAAAACATTTTGGACAAAGTTGTACACACAAATGTTCACTTGAAAGAATTTGGTGGCAAACTCATACAGTTGAATTTTAATTAATTTCTCTCAGTTTTCTTTTTTTTTTTTTCTTAGTAAGGATGATGAAAATAGTTTTGTGAAACATTTATTTTTAGAAAATAATTATTATAACATTTCCTTTCATCAATCACATTATTCATTGAATTTGGATGTACATATATTTGTATATATATATAAATCTATGTATAGAAATATGGACACAAGAAGTATCAAGAGTACTTGCAATGACTAGACGACTAATTTAAATATATGAAGAATGGAGACTATAAATAATTTCCCCTTGACAAGAACAAAAGATTTTCCGTATTCAGTTTGTGTGACTAATTATTTAAGTACTGACCACTAGCTTTACAATGGTATTTTTTTTTAATCTCACCCACCATATAGTCTTTATCTTGATCCTTTGGGCTATGGTATCATTTTTTCCATAGACAGAGCTTTGTAAATGTTGAATACATTGAACATAAACATAATTTTTTTTTTTACCTCAAAACCAAAAGAGTAGTTTTGCCAGAGAAGCAAACAACTGACAAACAGATGGATAGAAACAATAAGACATGATGGATTGTATTTTTATTAACATTATTATTTATTTTGTTCTGCAGGTGTAAAATTGATTAGACAGGTGATTAAAAAAAACAAAAAAAAAACACATTTTTGATATACCACAATATTTCATGTAAAAACTCCATTGCTATTCTTAGCAATAGTAATCATACAGAGTGCCCAGTAAAAAAAGTGGTAAATCCAGGAAGAAAATTTATTTAGCTATCATGATTCATGCACAAACTGAACAATCATTGCAGATGTTCAAAATGTTTTTCTGAATGTTCAACACAAAGTTGTAAACGTGGTAACCAGGAGGCAGTAGCTTTGCTGATAGTGTCAAGAGCAATTTCATTCCGAGCTTCAGTTAAGTTCCACTTCAATGAATCAATATCGACGATGTCATGACGACAGTTTTGTAAATGAATTAGGAGTATATTCCAGATACAGTAATCCATAGCATTCAGATCTGGGCTTTTAGAGGGTCACTAGCATAAAACAATTAGAGCTGGTGTATTTTCTCAAAGAATAAATTTGCCACTTTTTTACTTGGCACCCTGTAGAACTAGTTAAGATATTGTCAAGATAAATGTTTAAAAATGTTTATCAGTTTACATCTATTTAACAGTTCCTTTTTTTTTCAATAAATTATTAAATGTTGCTATTAACACAAACAAAATAACTTGTAAACTTTAATATATATTGTTATTAATATGGGTATGAAATTTAGTAATCTAGTCTTGGTTGCTATTACAAGTGAGTTTGATTTTTAATGTATGCCACATTGTTATAAAATAGACAAGGCTAAGTTTAGAAAATGTCTATTCCAGTCAATATCAATTTACAATGTACACAGATATATTTAATATATAAAGCAATTGACTATTTCAACTAATGAATTAAATGTAAGATGGATATTATAAACGTTTATTACCTTAAATAATTAGTTCTACTTATATTATCAAGAATAACTACTGTACATGATAGGACTTTAAATCAGGCTGGGAACGAAATGAGAAAGTGTAAATGTGTTGAATTAACATGAACATTCAATGCAAACTGTTCTGTTTTTGCTTAAACTAGTCTCTTGGTTGTTTGATTCTACTTCTTCTAATGTATTTTGTTGATATATAAAGTGCTGTTTCTTTATAACCCTTGATACAAATTTATGAATTACAAATCCATTTTTTAAGGACAAAGGAAAGAAAAAATGAGAGTTAATTAGAAAAAGAAAAATGACAAGGAGAAACAAATGGGTGATTTTAATATGAATAAAGGAAATAATCAAGTATGTAATACAAACATGAATTAATGAAAGAAAACATTTTTGTTTTAAGAAAAGTAAAGAGAAGATATAAAAAGTGATAAAATCAACACCCCCACCCAAAAAAAAAAGAAAGAAAAGAAAGTTAGAAAGAAAACATTAATACCTTCAAAACCAACCCTTTTTATGTGGACTTGTGTAGGTCAAAAACAGAAAAATGAGGTTTTTCACAGAAACTAAATAGCTCCAGTGGAAAGTAAGTATTCACAGAAGTGTACAGAGCATAAAATGAAGATAAGTTACAAATTTCCAATAGGGGAACATAGTATAATTAATGTTATCTGTTTTTAACAGGTAAAGTAGAAAAACATTAAGTAATTTAAAATTGAATATCTTAAGAAGACAATTGGATTAAAAAAAATTAAGTCATGGGTCAATAGTTATTTATTCACCTTGTCCTAATAATCTTCATTTTCTGCCACCTCCTCTTTCACACCTCATTCGTCATAACTGTTTTAGTAGTTACCCGTTAGCTTGAGTGACTCTCGAGCCTTGTATTGGGTGAACTTTAGTTTAAAAAAAAATGGAGTATGAATAAGAAGAGAAAGATGATATTAGAAAAGACTTAGAAAAAGAAAAGATAACAGAGCTATATTGTGAAACACATAAAAAGGAAGTAAAAATAAAACGAAAGAAAGAAGAAGAGTAAAAAAAGACTTTTGATAGGAAGAGAGAATGTTCAAGAAATGCATAAACACAAAAAAAGAAAGATTTAAACACTATAAAGAGAAGCACACCCAAAGAGAGATATAAACAACTGTTTTCAATAAAGAAAAGATTAAAACAAGTATAAAAACCAATGTAAGTCAGGCACTAAGAAGGGGAAAAAAAATAAGATTCTACCTTTAACCTAAATTAATTGAAATCTTTTAATTTTTCTTCTTCATTTCAGCAGTAGATGTCATTCAGAGATGACATAAAACAGAGATGAAATTCAGCAGTAGATGTCTTTCTTCACTGATATCAAGTTATGTATTTCTAATTCATTCTTGCACGACAATTGAAATAAGAAAGAAAACATAATCACAATAGGGATCATAATAAATACCTGATATTTATGCGATTTCATAATTCAGGTGATGGAGATCTTAGAAACATACTGATTAGGATTACAACTTATCAAGATCTCAATGGTTATTCCTGGATTTGCAGCTGAGTCAACTTCATTCACACAACATCATTTGCAGTCCAACTAAGATTTCATTATCCTTTTGATTTTATTTATGTATATATTTATATCAATGTATATAAAATACTTAATTATATAATTTTCAATTGAACAATTCAGAAACAAGATAACAGCATAAATATGAGTTTACTTAGATCATCCAAAATGATGGCATATCTTTTTTTAAAGTTCTGACCATTAATAGAAAGTTTTCACATGTGAGTCTAAATATATTTTTTCCATTTTTATTACTTTTATACTCTGCTCTCACACAGCGTTAGTCTTTTTATCTCCTGGCTTCATAAACATCTTGGAACAGTCCATCCTTATTGTAACAAAGACACTGCCACCTGGCATTACTAGTGCAAAGGAGATAACTCTAGTACAGGGAAAGTTAGACAAAAGATACAAATACATTTAGTGTATAATATATGTTTATACCTGTTGAGTATTTTAATTTAATAAATCTATAAATAAACTTGTTGACACAAGGCATAAAAAAAGTTTGCTAAAAGTTTGAATTTTAAATGAAAGAGTGTATCCATCAGTAAAACCATATAACCTACCAAAAATGTATGTATATAATGGCATACTGACATATATATGTAGGTATATGGCTTGAAGGATTATATATATTTATATCAGTAGTTTGTGGTTCGTTTCTTGAGAAAATTTAAAAAAAAAACACTTTGCTGTTAACATCAGAGAAAAGAGTAAATTGTATTGAGAAATGCAATATTGTACTAATTAGTGAATTTGATAAAAGAACTTTTAAGGTATCTGATATAAATTATTTGAATACCAAGTAAAGAGTCATACTTTGTACATTATTATTGTTCTAGATGGCAAATTTGATATTTATGCCTATTTTTGGAATAAAGTTTTCTGTCCTCTAAATACTTTCTATTTTAGTTTTTTTATCAATGAAATTAATCTAGATATGAAAGTATATTCAAATATGAATAGATTATAATTTCTGTTTTAATTTCTGTGATGAAGAGTTATCATTATTTACATTATTTACATTCAGACTATTGTCCTCATCTTTGTTGTTATCACAACATATCAAAATCTACTCCATAGATTAAATAAAGGTTTCAGTTCAGAATTCCCTATAGTTTACCCAGATCAATATACACCTGATGAAGGCTGGAGGGCACAACAGCTGAAACGTCATAACAACAACAACAAAGATAAGGAGATAGTCTGAATGTAAATAGTGCAAATAATGAATAGATTATCTTTTGGTGTTTGAAAAGTATGATACAATATTTATACTGTACTTTGTATGCTTTTTTTAACTGTTTTTTTTTTTTGTTTTTTTTTGTTTAATTTTGATAGAGAAAATTATTCATTTGATCTCTCCCAGTTAACTGATCTAGATTTTCATAATGATACACAAGAGATTATCAGAACAGTTTTTGTTTTTAATAAAAGGCTCAGTGTTTTCTAATCATCATCAACAGCCATTTTTTGTTACCAAATTAGGACAGCTGTGATGTGGATTAGGATGATAAAAAGTTGAACAGAGCAAAGAAAGAGATCAACAACAAGAGTATTTCAGAGAGATTTTGAAGATCAAGAAATGAAATACTCTCCACTCTTAGTTTTCATTTCCCCACTCCTGTTTCTCCTTAACAATTCCTTATATTATATATATATATGTATATATATATACTATTCTTATTATCAAATGTAAAGTAGGAGATTAAACTGGGGGTGTAATATTGGTATCAACCTTCTTGGAATGCATCTAAAAATAAGAATCAGCATCCTGAAAAAGAGAAACAAAAGAATCTATTTAATACTGAAAAATGCAAATTATATTGTTAAAACATTATTATATATATATATATATATATATATATATATATGCATGCACTCACACACACACACACTTGAAAAAACTTGCACCAATGATAAGCGCATATAAAAAACAAAAATCTAGAAGTATAAACAGTCAATTGCTGATACCCTTAACAAGTGGATGGAGTGATTTCTGGAAGGTCCGTCTATGATATATATATATAAATTCTATATATATTTTATATATGTGCGGTGCTCATTGGAAAGCACTCAATATCAGTGATAGAGCTAACATATTTAGTTGAATGGATATGAGTTTGTGACCGTCGGTTTCACACATATGTGATCCTCAGACAAACCCATTTGTCTGTGACAGTCACAAACTCATATCCATTCAACTAAATATATATATGTATATATTAATATTACTACAATTAAGTATATAGAAATGGGATATGTGAAAATCGGTTGAAATTTTTTGTGTTGATATTTCACCACTTTATGTAAACATTTTTGAAGATGCTTACATAAAGCAGCAAAATGTTAACACAAAAATTTAACATCTAACTGGTTTTCACATATACATACATACTGGGTATAACAGCAGAATTGTCCAAATCATGTAACAGCAAAATTGCCCAATTGCTAGATTACGCTTTGAACCATTGTAACTGAGAAATGATTAAAGATATCTTACTGGAATTCTCCAAGGTTTTTATAACACTATTGGACTCTACTTTGAATAATATTTAGCTCTAAGTTGAAATGATGATCCCTTTTGCTGATCTAGTTTCCGCTCTACTATTCCCTCTTTTTTAAACTTATTCACTATTGATGGCAGCCAGAGTATGAATGTTGATACCATTACTGAAGGTCTTAATGATCTCTTTCCTCTCATGATTGCTCAGTTGGAAAGACATAGTTCTTTTTCTAGCTCAATAACTCAAGAGGGCTAAACATCTTATCTGAAAATCTGGAAAAAAGAAACTCAATTAGTCTCATGGTTTTTTTAGATATTAAACATTTTGTGGGATGGACAATTATCCCATGCTGTTACATGATTTACTCAGTGTGTGTATATATATATATATATATATATATATATATATATATATATACACACACTCACGTTTATATAAACATTTATATACAAATATATGTGCCTGTATGTGCACAGATATATATGAGGAGACATATAAATGTATGTGTGTAAAGATATATATATATAAGAAATGGTTGTAGGTATGTATATATGTGTACAAGTATACATAAAAGGCACAGATATATAAGAGTGGGTATAGCTTAGTTGTGGCACAAACTCGAAACTATGAGGTACCCAGTGAAGATCAAATTCACTACTCTATTGTAGTTGATCTTGTGAGACAAACTTGCTTGAGTGGGCATGTACATGTATACATATATTTACAAAAAAAAAAGCTCTAATATATGTATATGCCTGGGTGGGTGTATGTATGTACACATATATGCAAGTATGTACAGTCAATGATGAAATTATTTGTACACCCATCAATTTTGAATGTTTTTATCCATTTCTCAGAATCTAATGTCCGTATGATGCCAGGTTTTTTATATGTTAATAAGCACAAAAAAAAAAAAAAGAAGGAATATAAAACTTTTAAAATTTTGCATAATTCGCCTGTCAAATTTGTTTTATTTAACCTATTGTTCTGAAAATTGAGTTTTATATTCCTTTTTTTGTGCTTATTAACATATAAAAAAGGGCATCATATGGAACTTAGATTCTGAGAAGTAGGTGTACAAATAATTTTGTAATTGACTGTATATAATAAAACAACACTCTCAAGTTTCAGCAGAGTGATTTAAAATCCAACAACACCAAATGGCTCTGATATAGATAACGCAATCAAACATACAAACTGGCAGACAGACACTCTCTTGAGTCTGTACATTGGAGGTAATAAGGTAATATAATTTAATTATGGTCAACACTTAACCTCAGAGATCCCAAGGCATACATCAAAGCAAATGTGTATCACTGAATTCCACCATGTGGAAAAAATTGCACCCATGAACATTTATTGATGTTTGCTGAAGAGTTATGGAGACCAAACAGTGGATTTGAGTATAGTTAGATGATGTTTCAGCAGGGGTGACAGCAATGCGTATGAGAAGCCATGTTTTAGGTAGCCCTGTGCAGTTGTCATTTCACAAAATGAAGAGTTCTTGTACATCTCTGGTGAAAATACATAGCCAGGAGTGGTGACTATATGAAAAAATAGTATTTTGTAGTGGAAAAATTCCTCTATTCCATGTTATATCCCTCAAATATTTTGGCCTTGTGTCAGACTAATGTGCATAAAGTTTATTAGGGTATATCAAAATTGGTTTCATTTGTTACTGGGCTTTACCCCAAAGCTTATTGCATGTATATACTAAAGATTATCAGAACTCCATTTTATCTTCCAACCATCCGACCAGCATAAATGTGTTCTAGGGTCATGACCATAAATAATCCTCAACATTAGCCCTAAACAAATGAAACAAAGAGGTGCTAATTTCCTTTGCCCCCACCACTTCATTTAATTCTCTCATAACTTACATATACAACCTACTCTCTCTCTATTATATATATAAGTTCTTCTAGGTTTCAGTCCTGGCTTGAGGTAGTCGAATGTTTAGCCACACTGATGAGCTGTGATACAGCAAAACAGTCTGTCTGGGGATGACAATATATATATATATATATATATATATATATATATATAGCAGGTAGAAGTGTAGTGGTACTTTGTCTGAAGATCATATTAAAGTGTGAAACTGACAGTCACCATGCAGTGGTGATTCCTATGTTCATAATGTCTCTATCTATAAATACTTTATCTTCAATGTTGAGGACTCTTCTAATAATGGCTAATGAAACTGAAGTAATGTTAGAATCCAGTGAACTAAATATTCATGTTTTGTGTCAGTTTGTTACTCTTTTAACTGTGTGTGTGTTGAATGCATCAATTAAAAGTGGGAATTATTTCACTTTTCAGTCAATAATTTGGGTATATTCAGTGACATATTAGAAGTTGATCATGATGCCATGCAAAGATTGAAGATACTTACCAGGCTGCAGATTAGAAGGAATACTCCCAGAATGATAAAAGGCAGAAAAGAGAGGACCCCACCACGTTTCAAAGTTTTCTTCATTAACCACTGCAACTTCCTGAGGTTCTTTTCCGTATAAGGTGGATATCGAATTCTGTCATAAATGGGAAATAAAAACATGAATCATATTTAAACTTGCTGAACTCAATAAAGATAAATCCTCAAAATCTTGTTCAGGTTAAGTTAGAATAAATATCAAGAAATATAATTTGATTGTATCATTTAAGCGTATTACTAGACGGTGGAGTAATGGATAGCGGCTTGGATTGAGGAATCGTAGAGCTGAGTTCGAATTCCATTCGAATCTATTATATTCACTTATATGCTAATAACCTTGGGAAAGGTATGAATCCTCTTCTTCTCCTCCCAGTTATGGATAAATAGCAGGACAGACTGGGTTCTATAGCCTTGGATGGCAACTGGTCTACCGCAGAAAGAAATGGCAACCTACTGCAGAAAAAAAATTTGCCTGTTCAGTCATGTATCAAAAGATACATGATTGCCTAAGCGCGTATCCCACATGGCACATAACTGACTAGATTGGCATTTAGATCTCATCATTTTACTGTTGAAATTACTAAACATAACCGTAAGTTCTATTCTAATAGTTCCTTCTCTTACATTTCTTACCTGTGGAACTCTCTTCCAGCATCTCACTTTTCCTTCAACTACAACTACAGTAATGTTTTCTCAGTTACCTTCACTCTGTTATCTTTCAGTTTCAGTAACTCCTTGTGTGCCATAGTGGCTTTATCATCTTGCTTGGGGTGAAATGATTAAAAAAGAAAAGAGAAACTATTCTACATAGTTATATATCCAAGAATCTTTTTTGTATCATTGCAAGTATTTCTAAATATTTTCATTTCAAAATTAACGTAAAACATGCACAGATGCTGCTTCTAAAGGTTAATACATTTTTTTTTTTTTACTTACCCAAACTAAAACATGTCAGAATGAATTTTTATTAGATTAGAGCTGGCGCCAGGATATTCAGCACTCAATAAATTTTGATAAGGTAAATTGCACAAGAATAACGACAATATACCAATTAGCAGACTCTCAGTATTTCCTTTTATAAGGATTTTAGTGCCCTTGGCAATTACCAAATTTGTCTTGGGTACAGCACTAATTCTGTCTACAATTAAATATTAAGCTGTAATTTCTTTTATATGAATTTCTCAGACACTAAATTCAACTGGTTTATGAACTTTTTGATTACACCTTCTTAGGTTACAACTTTGGTAAAGTTGCAATATGGTGGAAAAAATTATGATCTTTTGAAATTAGTAATTCACATACATAAAATGCTACACACACATACACACAGAGGTGTGCTGAATTGTTCTTTGCTTGGCTCACTTCCCAAAATATTACCAAATTTTGCTTTGGAACAGTTTCTTGGTCAGATCAATAACTTTTTACAAATTTTGAGTGTTCTTCATTTTTTTAATCATTTCATTTCCAAAAATGTTTTTACTAAATTGGTAAATGTTTTTACCAATGTTTTACTAGATTGGTAATGTTTTTTGTCTTGGGTCAAGACAAATTCAAAATAAAATAAAGATATTTGTTTTTACTTTTTTATTTTTAATCATTTCACCCCCAAGCAAGGCAATAAAGTTGCAAGGGGTTACTGATTGTTGGAGAATATGAAAAAAAGAAAACAACTATTAAGGAGAGAGAACAATAAAAGAACAGGAATTAAGAAGAAAACAGAGAAGATAATGATTGACATTGCTATTTATAAACCAAAGACGACAATGTATTTTTAATCATTTAGTTGAAATCATATTAAATAATAATATATTCCATTATGAATAAGCATAAACTTGAGTAGAGTTCTTTTTACATTAAAGATAAATGAAAATGATGAAATTTTTTTTCTGATAGAAATTTTTTTTTCCTATCATCAGAATTGACTGTCAGTTTTTATCAGATTTAACATGCTTCATCTTTGAAAATGTTTTCTCAAATATACTATGCTAAATGCTGAAACTGTCAGGCAAAAGATTTTAAAATAGAATATCTTTCATCTGGGATGCATTTGTAAAAGTTAACTTTCCATTTTTCTATTTTTTTAAATATGTTATTGGACAGCAGGTCAGTTAGTTCACATTATAGATCTGGTGAGAGGTTCTCACTGATATATAAATCAAAGACATTTTTTAAAAATCTTTTATACATATGAATATTAAAGGAAAATAATATAAAAATGATTTAAGAATAATAACATATTTCAAATGGTTTTACAGATTAAAGATGGGCTAGAGTTGGTTTGTGGGCAGGTGTTTACTCACCCTCTCAGGTAATAACACAATCAATGCTTTCTTCATTTCTTAGGGCTGCTGCATTAACTATATCTCTGTTATTTTTAGTAATTCATGTTAGATTTCATTTTATTGATGAAAAAGATATATATATCTATATGTGTGTGTGTGTGTGTGTGTGTATATATATATGTGTGTGTGCATTTATATATGTGTGTGTGTGTGTATATATATATATATATATATATATATATATATATATATATATATATATATATAGGGGTGCAGGGCAAACCTACGGAATGCCAAGCAATTTCAATGGCATGCAATTGCAAATGAAAGTACGAACCAGTAACTACTACAACACAAAGAAGATATTTAGCTGTTTCAATTTTAATATATACTAAAGTATATATACTATATATTACTATATAAAATATATTGTAGAACAGGTATATTGACCTTGACTTGTATAAAAATATGTTGGCACACTGAATGATTTTAAAACCCTAAGTCAGTACATAGTCAGCAAAAGGTTGCTGAACCCTGATTTAATGTCTAGGGGCAGCAGATCATTGTTCAAACATATATTGTTAAATATAACAGACAATTTTGTTGCCTGTTATTTTTTACCGTGAGCCTTTCCAAACGTTGTATAATGCCTTTAGTTTCAAGAGATAATAAAGACAAAAACTGTCCAACATTTAGATATTTCTTTATTATATTGGTCATTGATCTAAGTTTTCGGTTCACATACACACAGTAAAAAGAACCTTAAGATATTAGGGGCCATCTATAATTAAAACAAAGCAACGCACACTCAGCAAAATTACATTTCAAACCAGTCATAACATATTACAATGCATTTAAACATATGGTTCTGCTGATCATATTTATTTCTCTCACATGGTCATGTACGATGTTATAGAACTGCATTACAAATTTATGACCTGTGTCTGCTATTCCACGACCATTATCATCACATAGTAAACTTCTATGTAACCAAAACAGGATGTCATCTTTGACAGTAAACATTTCTGTTGTAATGTCCATATAACCACTCTGATGATGGCTCATGTGAGAATAAAAAAAAAGAAGAAAGATAAACTAAAGATAAAATAAATATGGATATGAAGTTAATATGGAGTTAATATAAAAGAGGAGAATTATAAAAATATAAATATGAGGAAGATATGATAATAGAGAGAAGCAGTATATAAATGGGGAGGGAGTAGATTAAAAAAACAGATACAGGTTAGTGGGGGTAGTTCTAATAATTGCTAACCAGAATCAAAACATTTGAGAAGCTTTTTCTATGAATGCATGTGGTCATATGTTCACTTCGTTTGTTCAGCAGGTTGGGCTATCAATGTGTTTAGGAATGATACATTTTTCCAAGAGGCCTATGTTACATATTTCCCCCTTGCCACAAAAGGGTTTGGTTTTAGCAACATAATCCCAATTTACTAATGGTGTGTAGTTATACATCTTAATCTGGTGAGATTCGAACCTGGGTCTGATTTGTCAAGAATTAGACTTCCTGATGTTATTGGTCTGGATGGGGACAATCCCAGCATGTTGCACCTTTGAAAAATGACTGAAAACCATACCACAGGTTGAGCCAAGCCTTGTGAGTGAAGTTGGGTGCCATCAATAGCTGTGTCAGCGTGAAGTCACAAGTCATCAGACTGAAGGTTTGAGTGTGCTGATCTTGTTCAAATTGTTCATCATGCCAGATAACACGCACTCTCCTAGGAATTGTAACTAAGGTCTGCACAGCATAGTTGCATTATAAACCACAGGTGGGCTCTGTGAGAGTTGAGCAAACACAAAATGTGCCTGAGTGAGTGCCTGCAATAGGGATTGGCTAGCTTCCCAAGTAGACGGGTATCCATAAATATGAGTGGCCAGCTATTATATATATATATATATATATATGTATGTATATATATATATATATATATATATATATATATATATATATATATATATATATATATACACACACATGTATATATATACATAAATTTGTATATATATACATGCATATTTGTGCATATGCACACACACACACACACACACACATACATACATATATATATATATATATAAATTATATACAAAAAGAATTCAAGGTAATAAGATAAAATAAAATTAAAAGAAACCCAACCTAAAGTAAATTTTAAAACAAGGCAGAAGAAAAGAAGGGAAGAAAAACAGAAAAAAGGAAAGACATAGTGAAAAGACAGAATAGGAAGAATGAAAAAGTGAGAAAGAAGGAGGTAAAGAAAGTAGTAATGTCTAGATATGGGGATGGTAGCAGGAGACAGATACATGTAGACGTGACCTTGACTTATATTAGAATATTCACCTCGGTTTCAATCAAGAAAAAGACATGGAAAATTGGGGAAGATTTTTTATCATTATATTAACAAAGTCACTATTACTTCAATAGTAAGAGATATAATTATATATTTATAATAAAAAGAAAAAATATATAAAAAATTATTTCAAAATTATTTATATATTGAAAAACATTGTTTTAATTTTTTACTTGTTAGGAAATGTATTATTTAATAGTCTTCATTTTATATATAATTATTTAACATATATTAATAAATCTATTACCATCTATAAAGAAATAAAAATAAAAAATCACAGAAGATTTTTTTTATTTTATATTAAAAAAACAATAATTGAGGAATAGTAAATGAAACGAAACATTTACACTTAAAATAAAAAAGATAGCTTGCATAAAATGATGGAGAAAAATATTATACTCGAGTTATTAAGTAAAAGAAATATATAAAATATAATTTAATAAGTA